GGTGAGTACCACCAAGCGCAGTTTTCCTGTCCAGCTTTTGACATTGCACCACCACAATGCTGTCATCTCCACCAGTCAGGCTCCAGAGTCACACAACAGAGTCACAGATAAATGTTTTAAGTGTGTTTACAATCTTGTCTGGGGCCACATGTGTTGGCTGTATGTGGCCCATGGGCTGTAGGTTTGACAGGACTGAATGGGCAAAAGTCTCACAGAGGCTCATTAAAAATCAAACAGTATTTGATGCTGATTTGGAATCTCAGCCCTGCCAAATAAGAGTAAATATTTTTAAACCTAATATTTGATCTCATTAAATTCTAGACAAAAGTCTTGGCAAAGGTCATAGACTTTTTTTTTTTTTAATGTATTTCAGGAGCTGGAGGAATGGCTCATCAGTTGAGAGTGTTGGTTGCTCTCTAGAAGACCCGGGTTCGATTCCCAGTGCCCACATGGCAGCTCACAACCATCTTCAACTCCAGTTTCAGGGGATCCAACACCCTCTTCTGGCTTCCATTGGCATCAGGCACACATGTGGTACACAGACATCCATACAGGCTAAACACCCACACACATACAATGAAAACATACAAATGAACTCTACCAATGTGTAAATTCGTTTTAATTACAGTGATTTTTTTTCCCCCTCTTTTTTATGGATTCTCCTAGTGATCAGCTCCATCAAGATGACTAGCCATGAACAATGAATGCAAACTTCAAATTTTCTATGAGGAATACACAGCCACAGAAGTTACTGCCAATGCCTCGAGTACAGAGTGGAAGGGTAATATGGTCTGAATCCGTGGTGGGAATGACAGATGAGATCTTTTCATGAGGCAGGTTGTCCTGACCTACAGCAGTGTGTACCTGCTGTTGAGCAAAGAACATTCTTACTATAGACCAAAGAGAACTGGACCAAAGAAGTGCAAGTCTACTTGGGAGGCATTCTGGATACCAATCTGAGTGTTCTCAACTTGAACACTTATTGAAAAGGGGTGGTGGTGGCTATTCCTGGACTGCCAGACAGTTCTGTGCCTCAGCAGTTGGGACCCAAAAGAGCAAGCAGAATCCTCCAACTTTGCAATCCCCTAAAGAAGATAATGTCCACCAATATGTTGTCATAAACACAGAAGGCGAGAAGCACCCAAGATTCAGCATCTCGTTACTCCACCTGTCCTGCAACTCAATCACCAACTGCTCTGAAGAAACAACACACTAAGAAAAACGAGGCTGCAGAATACACTAAGCTTTCGGACGAGAAAATGAAGGAAGCCAAGGAAGAACGTCAGGAACAGCCTGCCAAGACACATGCCGTGGGCTGGCCTCACCGAGAGCTTCTACTTTTGAGTGCCGACAAAATAAGGATCTCCGAGCCTTCCTTTCTAGCCCATCTCCTTTGTGCCCAACTCTACTGCAATAGGCCCCGGGGAAAGTAATTTATTCAAAGCACAAGACAAGGACTTCAAAATAGCAATTGTTCCAGGACCTTAAAGAGGGCACAAAGAAATGTCTTAATGAAGATCATCAAAATACACTTGAATGCAATAATGAAAACAGTATAGGATACTGAAGTAAAATTTAAAGAAAGAAATAGATCACTAATGAAAACCCAAACTAAAATAAAACTCACAATGAAAAACAGGCTATCAAACAAAAACCTCAGAGACCAGTGCCTCCTTCAACTTAGGTCAGAATAGCTGCTTCTGACAGTAGATGGGAATTAACACAGAGACTAAACAGGACAATGTTTAAAGACTTTGGCACACACAGCCCTAAGTGGGATGTCTTCACCAACCCCCTCCTCAAAGCCCAGGCATCTATGCAGAAGGTGGAAAGATTGTAGGAGCTGGAGGTTATAGGTCCCGACTCCAAGGAAGCAGGGTCTTCCAGACACAACAGCACTGATGCACAAATGAACTCAGACTGTGGCAGCATGCACAAGACCTGCACAGGTTCAAGCCAGATGGGTCCCAGCACTGGGAGAGGGATGTGGACACAGGGTTCCAGCCCTACCCCTGAAGCTATGTGCAATTGATACTAACTGGCAAGAGAGAACAAATCGGTTTTCTCCAGTGGAGTGTCAGTGGGTCTGTCTACCATATCCACGGCAGGCCCCATGCCTAGGAGTGGTTGGGCAACAAAACAACTCCATGGCTTTTCCTGTGGACTTTGTTTGGCTTTTTCTTGTTATGTTTTGTCTTATTGGTCTTTTGTTTGTTCGTTCTGAGGTTTTGTGGGTTTTTGTTTTTTGAAAGAAAGAACATAAAGTTCAATGGGTGGGGCGGTGGGGAGGACCTAGGAGCAATCACAGGAGGGGAAATACAATCAAAATACATTGTTTGAAAAAATAAAATAAAATAATTTTTTAAAAAAAGACTCTTTAAGAGTAAAAAAGATGATCAGGCCTTGAAAAAAAATAGTGGCTGTTTCTTTGTTTTCCAATTTCCTTAATCTCTTCAGTGAAGTTGAACTATTTCAAACAGCACATCCCACTTTAATCTCTAGCTGTTAGGAAATTCTTTATGCAGAGACTACAGAGATGTTCTGTAGGTATACCACACAAAGCAGGAGGATCTGAACTCAGATCTCAGGACCTAGGTAAAAGCCAGGCATGGTGGTGGGTGGCCGAACCTGTGAGGGTTGGGGGACACGAGGGAGTGGAGACAGGCTAGTTTAGCCAATCCGTGAGCTTTGTGAGATACCCTGTCTAAAAATCTAGATTGAGAGGAATAGAGGAAATTATCAGCCATCAATCTCTGGCCTCTGAGCTCACACACAGAAGAGAATTCTCCATGTAGAAACAGAACACACCCACTGCATTCTAACTAATCTGTTATGGCTTCCTTACACTACGCTGGCGTATCTTGGGGCTATCCTCAATGTTTTCTAGTTTGAAAACATTTCTGGCTTTTGTCCTATTAGGAAACATCCTGAGCAAACACTATAGACCATTATTAATCCTTTCAATAATTTTTTCAAAGTTCATACATTAGTGCATTTAAGAATCAATTTTTAAAGAGCTGGAGAGATGGCGCAGTGGTTAAGAGAACCTATTGCTCTTGCCGATGGCTCAAATTTGATTCCCAGCACCCACAAGGCAGCTCCCAGCCACTGTAATTCCAGCTCCAAGGGGATCTGGCACACTCACGTACACAAACACATACATAATTTAAAAAATTATATTTTTATAAACGACAAAGAATGTTAAGGAATAACAGTCATTGAATTAGTGGGTCACTTTAGCTCAGGTTATTTATTTATTTATTTATTTTTGTTTTCGAGAAAGGGTTTCTCTGGGTAGCCCTGACTGTCCTGTAACTCAATCTATAGACCAGGCTGGCCTCAAACTCAGAGATCCCTCCCTCCAAGTTCTGGGATTAAAGGCATGTGCCACTATGCCCTGCTTAAAAAAAATCAATTTTTATAAAGTGCAACAGGATTGAAAAAAATATCTACCACACAGTATGAAAGGGTTAATGATATCTACCACACAGTATAAAAGGGTTAATGATATCTTCTGTGCAACCTCTTTCTAATATGTTGATAGACACACATGTAGGAGGCCAGCTCCCACTTTTCCCAGAGTTCCTACGAGGAGGTGAGAGGGATAAGAAACTTTTTGACAGAAAGATAGCGAAGAGGAGAAAGACAGAAACACAGGATAGCTTCGGGAGGACCTGGATCAATACCCAATGGCCCCTTCTGTCTCTTCCAGAGGGCTTTTCATAACAATGCCAAAGGGCGGGGCAAAAGGCCTCCTTCTTACAAAATCAAAGCCCATCACACAGCCAAGTGTAGACCCTTCCAAACACCTGGTAACCACGCCGTGGTCAAATCATCCCCTTATGCAGCCCTACTGGGTAAAGCAAGCTCAGATTCTCAGACCCTGAGTAATTTGGGCCTCCACACACACAGAAACAGAAACCTATGAACTAAATGGATAAAAATGTATTTATTAATTTCAGTCAAAAACTTTTGAAAGCCTCTCTGATGATGGTTGAGAGATGCACTGAAATTCTCACAGGATTAATCAAACATTAAAGAAAAAAACAACTTTGAAAGCCACCAGAGCGTGTTGTGGTTAGATAAGAGGATGTTTCACCCAGTACATTCACACTCGTGGCAAAATGCTCGATTGAACTCAGTGCAGGGAGAAAGTAGGGCTCTCTGTACCAAAATACAGTAATAGCCTTGGGAGAAATAAGCAAAGTGGGCAGCTTAAACAAAACATACACATTTAGCTGGAGCCTGAACACACACGGGCTGGGCTAGGCTAGGGACTCAGGTTCCTAAATCTGACTGGCCCAGGCTCTCAGTGTACAGTGAGGATGCCAGGGGCTGTTGTATAGTTGGTCTCATTTTAATCTGAGGCTTGTCTCTGACGACAGATACTAATGCTACAATATTGTACAAATACAATTAGGAAATGTATTCTTTGATCAGGAAGTGTTCACCCTCTGATGATACAGTTGATAAAAAGCCTGTATGCTGAGTATTTTCATACACCATCTTTTACTTTCCACAAGAACTTGATGGAAGGATATTACTCAGGGTTGAAGTTACAGACAGGAAAATGCTCTCAAACATACAGCTCCTGAATGTCAATGTTTTATATTTTAAAGAGTTTCTATTTATCTTTTTTTTTTTTTTTTGAGACAGGGTCTCACATCGTAGCCCAGGCTGGCCTCAAATTCCACATCCCATTGAGTCTGGGTACTGGAGTGCACCACCATGCCCAGCTTATTATTTCCAACACATAATAATTGCATATCTCTTTTGTTTTTAAGTGACAAACGTGCTCCAATATACCTCTGCAACTAGTAGCATGCTCTGTGGAGAACTACTGGCCCAGGAATGGGCTATTAACACAAATGCAACGCGTTTTAAATTCAACATCAAACTCTGTCACTTCCAACTAGTAATTAGGGGTTTTTTTTGGGGGGGGCGGTGTTAAGACAGGGTTTTTCTGTGTAGCTCTGGAATTCCCTTATGACCAGGGCTGGCCTCAAACTAAGAAATCCTCCTGCCTCTGCTTCCCCAGGGCTGGCATTAACGGCATGTGCCACCGTGCTGTTAGTTTTGAAGCGACTACAATGTTAACTTGCAGTTACGTACCCCCCAAATCCAAATTCAACACATTAGCGAAACTAATGTCAGTGACGTCAAAGTCGAGCGCATTCATCAGTTCATCTACCAAGCACTAACCTAAGACTCCTCGACCCGGCTAGGGGAGAGGCGAGGAGGCAGAGGATGCAGGGCTGCAGTGGCTCTGTCCAACTTGTCCCAGCCAGGCAGGGGACCCAGTGAGCTGGAGAGTGCAGAGATCAACCGAGAGCCCGGCGGAGGAGCCCCCTCGCCGCCCGCCGTGCAGCGGCACCTGCTCAGGCGGGATGGCACCCAAGCTCCCCCGAGATACCCCCGGGGCTAGCCTCCGGGGCGGGCGGAGCCCTGGCGCGTCCCGCCTGTCCCCCCCACCCACCCACCACCTGCCCCGAGGCCCGCGGGATGTCCCGCAGCCCCCCAGCCCACCCCACCTTCCCGGGGGGCCCGGCCCCACGGCGCTCACCTCCTCGCTGTGCGTGGACGGACACTTTTTCCGCAGGCGGCCCCAGTTGAGCAGGTTCCCGGTCTGCAGGTGCAGGGTGCTGGCCCGCGCCAGGAGCGCCCCGGCCGCGCGGCTGTCGGTGCCCATGGCAGCTGCCGCCCTGACT